CTCTGAGGGCCCGCACTGGGCACAGCAGCCTTGACCTCTCCTCTCCTGATGGGGGGGGCGGGGTGTCAAACTGCACGAGCTGGATAGGCTGGTTGATATGTGAGCGTGTCAACACCTTTGGGAGAAACGCTGCATTAGGCCACGAAGTGACACCCAAGCCATCCGAGTTCCACCTCAGACATGATTCATTCACCGACAGGGCATGCAGCTCGCCTACACGTTTAGCTGACGTGATGGCAAGGAGAAAAAGCGCTTTGGCTGATAGCCATCTCGGCTCCTCCGCCTGTGCCAGGGGTTTAAAAGGAGGCAAGCATAGGGTGTCCAGTACCAAGGGTAGTTCTCATGCAGGGGCCTTCAGGGCGCTCGGGGGACGCAATCGCAGAGCCCCTTTTTAGAAAGAGGGACACCAGTCTGTGGCTCTCTACTGTGTCATTGTCGACCTTAGTATGCTGCCCCGAAATAGCGGCCATGACATGTATACTCCAAGGGTAGAGGGAGACCGACCCTTATCCAGGAGGGACTGTAGAAACTCAAGTACAGCAGGCACGGGGGAAACTGTGAAACACGCCATTCCCTCCTAAGAGGGACAGCTTGTCGCAGCCTTTGGAGGGCGAGATATCCGCAACTCCGACCGGTGGTCACAAGGCTACAGCGACAAGCTCTAATATGTTTTGATCGTAGACACATCTTTGTTTAAGCTTATGCTACCATGGTAGCTAGCCTGCGTAGCGAGAAGATGAAAAAGGACTGATCTCAGGATGACACCAGAACTTATAGATGACGGGGGTCATCCGAGGTCACAGGTAACTTTGTTGATATAAATACTCGAACTGCGCATGCGAGAGAGAGAAGATATCCAGTGTTAAGCACTGCCTCTGGCGGTCAGTAAGGATGAAATAGAACTACCACCTGCATACTCAGAACATAGCTGCTTCTTCTTCGAGCCTAGCCTGGACTTATCTTTGCTAAGTTTCCTCTTTCTGCTCAAGCTAGTGGGTTAAGAGACACTAAAAGAAGGGACAAAGTGTGTCTTCAGGGTGTCTTGTACCTGTGAGGTGGACATGCGGGACGTGTCCTGCCGTCCTGTTAGATCCGATGATGACACATTGACAGGAGCGCCGCGGTGCAGTCGCATGCTGACCTTTCGTTCACGCTCCATCCCAGACACTTGTCGAGGGGACGTGTTTGCTGTAGACCAGAGAGCAAAAACAAAGACCACCATCAAGAAATGATATAAATACTGCCCTATATGCATCATATTCCATACAAAAGGGACTGGCTTTGGTTTTGGATTTAAATGCCAGAGTTTATGCAATGACATTTTTCTTCACACCTTATTGATAAGAAAAAAAAAAGCTTGAAACAAAATAAGGTAAAGTGCATTATTGTTGTCAACTTTATATCAACTATAGCTAAATCCAAGTATAAAATGAAAGCTGAAAGTCATGAAAACACCATACATATAATTATTATTATACTATTTCCACAATTCTACTGCTGACAGTTGGAACAAAGAACATTTTGTAAACCCCTGGATTCTAGCCTTAAAATCATGAAACACTTCACACTACGCTGATGCGTTTTACAGCATTTGCATCAGGATCACGTCACAGGGACAGATGGCTGGAGTGAACTCACCTGTGTGGGAGGTAGGAGTTAGAGGGGTGGGCGGAGCTCCGTCCTGGGCTCCTCGTGGCCGTCCTGATGCAGCAGGTATTCCTCGGGCCACAGGGTTCCTGCCGTGCCTCAGCCTGTCCTCTCGGTCCCGGCGCTCTCTCTCTGCTTCCTCTGCTGCACGGTTGGCTCCCTGTGTATGGCAATAACAATGAGTCAACAGTAAAACAGGACTACTGCTACGCTAGCTCTGTGAGGCTATGCTTTGAGCTAAATGCTAACGTCAGCATGCTAACATAGTCACAACGGCTAATCTGAATCACAGCAGGTATCTACAAATACTGATCAACATTTGAAGTACAAATTGTGGCTGATGTTTCAAACCCACAGACATTCTGATTAGTACTCACAAACTTGAGCATGTTCCAGTCAAAGACATAGTCATAAGAGAAGCCCTGTCTGTGGAACAGGTTTCTGAAGAGCTGCCGTAGGTACGAGTAGTCCGGCTTGTCATCGAAGCGCAGGGAACGACAGAAATTCAGGTAGGTTGCAAACTCAGCTGTGACAGAGAGGGAGAAGACATTTCTCAGCTGATGGAAGTGACCAACCAGTTCTTGATTGCCATCGGTAGATATACAGTGGGTACGGAAAGTATTCAGACCCCTTTAAATTTTTCACTCTGTTTCATTGCAGCCATTTGCTAAAATCAAAAAAGTTAATTTTATTTCTCATTAATGTACACTCAGCACCCCATCTTGACAGAAAAAAACAGAAATGTAGAAATTTTTGCAAATTTATTAAAGAAGAAAAACTGAAATATCACATGGTCATAAGTATTCAGACCCTTTGCTCAGTATTGAGTAGAAGCACCCTTTTGAGCTAGTACAGCCATGAGTCTTCTTGGGAATGATGCAACAAGTTTTTCACACCTGGATTTGGGGATCCTCTGCCATTCTTCCTTGCAGATCCTCTCCAGTTCCGTCAGGTTGGATGCTGAACGTTGGTGGACAGCCATTTTCAGGTCTCTCCAGAGATGCTCAATTGGGTTTAGGTCAGGGCTCTGGCTGGGCCAGTCAAGAATGGTCACAGAGTTGTTCCGAAGCCACTCCTTTGTTATTTTAGCTGTGTGCTTAGGGTCATTGTCTTGTTGGAAGGTGAACCTTCGGCCCAGTCTGAGGTCCAGAGCACTCTGGAAGAGGTTTTCTTCCAGGATATCTCTGTACTTGTATTCATCTTTCCTTCAATTGCAACCAGTCGTCCTGTCCCTGCAGCTGAAAAACACCCCCATAGCATGATGCTGCCACCACCATGTTTCACTGTTGGGATTGTATTGGGCAGGTGATGAGCAGTGCCTGGTTTTCTCCACACATACCGCTTAGAATTAACGCCAAAAAGTTCAATCTTGGTCTCATCAGACCAGAGAATCTTATTTCTCATAGTCTGGGAGTCCTTCATGTGTTTTTTGGCAAACTCTATGCGGGCTTTCATATGTCTTGCACTGAGGAGAGGCTTCCGTCGGGCCACTCTGCCATAAAGCCCCGACTGGTGGAGGGCTGCAGTGATAGTTGACTTTGTGGAACTTTCTCCCATCTCCCTACTGCATCTCTGGAGCTCAGCCACAGTGATCTTTGGGTTCTTCTTTACCTCTCTCACCAAGGCTCTTCTTCCACGATTGCTCAGTTTGGCTGGACGGCCAGGTCTAGCAAGAGTTCTGGTCGTCCCAAACTTCTTCCATTTAAGGATTATGGAGGCCACTGTGCTCGTAGGAACCTTGAGTGCTGCAGAAATTCTTTTGTAACCTTGGCCAGATCTGTGCCTTGCCACAATTCTGTCTCTGGGCAGTTCCTTCGACCTCATGATTCTCATTTGCTCTGACATGCACTGTGAGCTGTAAGGTCTTATATAGACAGGTGTGTGCCTTTCCTAATCAAGTCCAATCAGTTTAATTAAACACAGCTGGACTCCAATGAAGGAGTAGAACCATCTCAAGGAGGATCAGAAGAAATGGACAGCATGTGAGTTAAATATGAGTGTCACAGCAAAGGGTCTGAATACTTATGACCATGTGATATTTCAGTTTTTCTTTTTTAATAACTTTGCAAAAATTTCTACATTTGTTTTTTTCTGTCAAGATGGGGTGCCGAGTGTACATTAATGAGAAATAAAATTAACTTTTTTGATTTTAGCAAATGGCGGCAATGAAACAAAGAGTGAAAAATTTAAAGGGATCTGAATACTTTCCGTACCCACTGTAGAATTATGCAATAACTGATAAATAAATAAGTTGAGACTCACAGGGGTATCCCTTGCAAAGCACCTCAATGGGGGTGGACATTTTCTTCTCACTGATCCGTTCATACTTCTGCCTCTTGGTGGCAGCCTTGAGGCCTTGCCAGGGCAACGAGCCCAGATTAAAATACATGAGAACATAGCCCAAGGACTCCAGGTCATCGCGCCGCGACTGCTCTGTAGAGGGGGACAGGAAGGATGAAGAGAAGAAAAGAAATGTTAAAGTCATGACTGCAGTCAGAAATGGTTTAATTGCAGTAATGTGCCAGTTCAGTGTGTTTTGTTTACCAATCCCCAGATGTGTGTTGATGGAGGCGTAGCGTGCAGTGCCAGTCAGGTTCTTGTTCTCGCGGTAGGGGATGTGCTGGTGTGTGCGAGCGTCACGATACTTTTTAGCCAGGCCAAAGTCAATAATGTAGACCAGGTTGCCCTTTTTGCCCAGACCCATCAGGAAGTTATCAGGCTTCACATCTCTGTGGATGAAGTTCTTGGAGTGAATGTACTCAATGCGACTGATCTGTAATGGAGAAGAACACAATAATTAGGTCGCTACACCACATTAATATGAGGCTATTTCGGCAAGCGCCAGCCTAACAGCTGTGCACTCACCTCGGTCTGACAGCTCCTTCTGTACACCAGTCAAGTCACATTTTGATAACCAGGGCCGATTAATACCGACTGAACTTGATGACCATGATGTAAATGAGAGCAAACTACGATGCTTATGTTGACCCTTGGTACCCAATCATCATCATCAACTGTTAACCGACAAGATTAGTGCGTTGCATGCATGGTGCAGTGGTTTAAGTGCAACGATTACAGGATGCACAAACAGGTTAAATTCATAATTTAAAGTTATCAGCCACAACGTTGTGTGCATTGTTGCGGACACATGCAGCCACTTCCCAGTGAGTCTCCTAGTTTAGATGCGGAATCAACTCAAATGACCTGTGTGTCCCCCAGTGTGTTGCAAGCCTGGCCTAACGTTAGCGAGTGTCCGGGCGAGGGCATGTGTGACGATGAGTATGAAGTTAGCAGTAATGTAATAGTTGTGAACGTAGCAGTTCAAGTTAAACATAGCACATTTAATTTACAAAATTGATGTAACAGAAAAAGATTTTAAATGGTAGTAGCACTGAACTGCACATACAGTATGTCCCAATGACGTGCCCAGATAAACACTGAAGCCCTTTCTGCTCTCATTGCCAGCTGCTCTGGGTCACTGCTAGAAAGTGTGATGTAATCTGAGAGGACACTGGGATGTGTGCAGGCAGTGGTCAGAAGGTGTGAGAGAGAGTGTGTGAGTGAGTGAGTGAGTGGAGTGAGTAGGCAGTCTCACCATCTGATCAGCGAGCAGCAGCACTGTCTTGAGGCTGAACTTGCGGGAGCAAAAGTTGAAGAGATCCTCCAGGCTGGGCCCCAGCAGCTCCATCACCATCACGTTGTAGTCACCTTCTGCTCCGCACCACTTTATGGTTGGAATGCCCACTGCAAAAACATGGTAGTAAACACAATTCCAATGGTGAGAACAAAAAAATGGAACACCTCCGATTGATATACTTCACTTGCTGAAGGCAAAGATCTCCTAACACAAGCAACAGTGTTCCGATGTGAGGGTCCTGGGACAGAGGATGTCGCAGGTGTACAGATTGTGAAGCCCTGAGGCAAATTTGTGATTTGGGGCTATACAAAATAAATTGAATTGAACAGGTGAAGTCGCCTGCAGTAGCATCACTTAGGGAGGTTACCAAGCGTTTGATGATGTGCATGAGTTGTAACAGTTTGCCCTATTCAGATTCTCTATCCCACTCCTATTATTCACGGTGGCAGGAGGCAAACAGGCTGCGCTGTAAAGCGGAAACACTAGCAATGGAGCCACCCATTCCACCACATATTTTGTGGTGTTATGATTTGAAATGTATGTATGTATGTATACATACACACATATATATACATACACATATATACATACACACACACATATACATACATACATATACATATATACATATACATATATACATACATATACATACATATACACATACATACACATACATATACACATACATACATACATACACATATATACACATATACATACCTACACATACATACATACAGTTGTGTGAAAAAGTGTTTGCCCCCTTCCTGATTTCTTATTTTTTTGCATGTTTGTCACACTTAAATGTTTCAGATCATCAAACAAATTTAAATATTAGACAAAGATAACACAAGTAAACACAAAATGCAGTTTTTAAATGAAGGTTTTTATTATTAAGGAAAAAAAAAAAATCAAACCTACATGGCCCTGTGTGAAAAAGTGATTGCCCCCCCTGTTAAAACATAAATTAACTGTGGTTTATCACATCTTTGGAAAGCCGAGTTCAATTTCTCTAGCCACACCCAGGCCTGATTACTGCCACACCTGTTCTCAATCAAGAAATCACTTAAATAGGACCTGCCTGACAAAGTGAGGTAGACCAAAAGATCCTCAAAAGCTAGACATCATGCTGCGATCCAAAGAAATTCAGGAACAAATGAGAAACAAAGTAATTGAGATCTATCAGTCTGGAAAAGGTTACAAAGCCATTTCTAAAGCTTTGGGACTCCAGCGAACCACAGTGAGAGCCATTATCCACAAATGGCGAAAACATGGAACAGTGGTGAACCTTCCCAGGAGTGGCCGGCCTACCAAAATTACCCCAAGAGCACAGCGACGACTCATCCAAGAGGTCACAAAAGACCCCAGAACAACATCCAAAGAACTGCAGGCCTCACTTGCCTCAATTAAGGTCAGTGTTCATGACTCCGCCATAAGAAAGAGACTGGGCAAAAATGGCCTGCATGGCAGAGTTCCAAGACGAAAACCACTGCTGAGCAAAAAGAACATAAAGGCTCGTCTCAGTTTTGCCAGAAAACATCTTGATGATCCCCAAGACTTTTGGGAAAATACTCTGTGGACTGACGAGACAAAAGTTGAACTTTTTGGAAGGTGTATGTCCCATTACATCTGGCATCTGGCGTAAAAGTAACACGGCATTTCAGAAAAGGAACATCATACCAACAGTAAAATATGGTGGTGGTAGTGTGATGGTCTGGGGCTGTTTTGCTGCTTCAGGACCTGGAAGACTTGCTGTTGTAATCCTGAAGGAGAATGTCCGGCCATCTGTTCGTGACCTCAAGCTGAAGCACACTTGGGTTCTGCAGCAGGACAATGGTCCAAAACACACCAGCAAGTCCACCTCTGAATGGCTTAAGAAAAACAAAAAGAAGACTTTGGAGTGGCCTAGTCAAAGTCCCGACCTGAATCCGATTGAGATGCTGTGGCATGACCTTAAAAAGGTGGTTCATGCTCGAAAACCCTCCAATGTGGCTTAATTACAACAATTCTGCAAAGATGAGTGGGCCAAAATTCCTCTACAGCGCTGTAAAAGACTCATTGCCAGTTATCGCAAACGCTTGATTGCAGTTGTTGCTGCTAAGGGTGGCCCAACCAGTTATTAGGTTTAGGGGGCAATCACTTTTTCACACAGGGCCATGTAGGTTTGGATTTTTTTTCCCCCTTAATAATAAAAACCGTAATTTAAAAACTGCATTTTGTGTTTACTTGTGTTATCTTTGTCTAATAATTAAATTTGTTTGATGATCTGAAACATTTAAGTGTGACAAACATGCAAAAACATAAGAAATCAGGAAGGGGGCAAACACTTTTTCACACAACTGTATATACACACACACACACACACACACAGTACATTTTTTGAGGCCATACTTTCAGGATTAAATCACTTCCAGTTGTGTCCCTTTACCTATAAGTGTGGCTTCAGGATCAGAGTAACCAATGCTGTGTTCACATCATTTGTGTTTATTCACATTACTAGCGTGATCACTTGTGTTTATTCACATTACTAGCGTGATCACTTGTGTTTATTCACATTACTAGCGTGATCATGTGAATACGCGAATGAGGCGAATTTGCGTTATTTGTGGAGCATCATTCTAACCACCCGGCATGATTTTGCATCTCCTTGCGTCCATTAGCGTCTTTGCATTGACTTGGTATGTAAAGTAAAAGATTTGCTTGGCGTTTGGTGTGAACACAACATAAGGATGTGAGCTGATTGAATGTTGCAGTCAGTCTCTCTCCCTCAGCTTTGTAGATCACTAGCTATTGAACTCATGGATCAATGACATCTACATGGAGTAGGAAGACCGTGGTGGGTCGAGAAATCACATAGGAGGATGATGAGGAGATGGAAACTGAGATGCAGCACAGAAGTCCAATGAGAGATGAAGAACCCAGTATTGAGTAGCAGTATTGTGAGCTGATACATCACCTCCTCCTTGCATCATCTTGTAGATCTTGCTCTCGATGTGGAGCTGGGGGTGTTTGGTCTTCACACATTCCAACTTAATCGCAACCTCCTCACCCACTGAAATATCTGTGCCTGGAAAAGGACAAATGTTAATACACATGGTTACTTTAATCCATCAGTTCACCCATGATACAAGAAGAAACACCACATACAAACCTAGTCATCTGGTTATATAGATAGCTTCAGTTTTATCTGACAAGACTTCTGAAATATCCACCGCTAACACTTGAATTGTTTGTAATGAAAACTGTTACCAAGAGATTACCTTGAATAACCTGACATGTTGTTTGACAGCTTGCTGCTTCCTCTTTTCAAATGTATATTTGAATGCTGTGAGTAAGGATGTATTTATCACATTGTCTATGCTTGTGCGGTATTTTCTGATATATCTAGTCCTGTAACGTTATCACTGAAGGTACCTGATCTGCACTGAGCATGTGCAACTCAGCAGAGATGAGAAGAAAGCGGAAAAACATTACATTATGATTCTGTAAATTTGATGCTGTATTATATTTAGTACTTCTGCTAGTATTATGAAACGGACTTAAAAACAAACAAAACATTTTATGAATTTGTCACATGAGGGAAAAAGGGTTTTAGTGTTTCTTTAGTGTATTCACTGACAGAAAATCAGTTTAGTTGTTTATCAAGCTAAAATGCCAGATTGTCTAACATGTAACAGGTTAAACAATAGGCTTACTTTGAATATTGGCAGAGAAACACTAAATTATGAGTTGTGGCTTTTGTGTTCGGTAACTGCTGGGTGCACAGGCTGTGACACAAATTGTGGGCTTTTGGGACAGAGCCCAAGTTCTTAGTTCAGTTACAGTACGGCAGCTGAATTAATCCTGTGCCAATACAGAAACATGTCAACATCAGATTACAGGTTCTGTAAATATGATATAAAAAACAACATATAGATATAAACTGACCCTGAGAAGTCTCCTATGCCTGCATATCAAAGGCTATTTTGCCTGAGAGCTAACTGATGCCTGGACTGACTGGACTGGAAAAACCAGTCTGCCCAGTGTGATCACAAACACATTCACATGACTACTCAACAGTAAATCCATGTCACACATCGAATGGATGATAGAAACTAAATGAAGCCACCTTGGGAAACAGAGAGGCTGGTAGTTTGGTTGTGGTAGGTTCACTAGCTTCTGTTAATCGGGTTAACCTCAGGTGTGAAGCTAGCAGTCTAGCTGCCTCTTCCTCCAGACGGCACGGGTCCAGCCAGCTCAGGCTACTCCTTTATTTGACTGTATGGCTACGGTGACACCCATCAGATGTAATTTATTCTGTGAATAGCTAAATAAAACTCTTGGCTGTTGTATGTGAAATGTGCTCGACAAGCCACTGTGTATGTTCATCTCCGTTTACATTTTGTCAGAGACAATTTTAAAAAGGCAGAAAAGCGACAGTGTGATGCAGTAATTTGAAGTGTCAGGGTGGGTTGTGCTGTAATACTAAGTATTATTATTATTATTATTAATATATATTTATTTATTATACTATAATACTAAAAACAGCTGTACACAAGTGGTGAGCCTAGGGAAACCATCTAGAGCAGAGGTCTTCAACAGGGGGTCCGCGAAATTTTTGGTTGATTACAAAAAAAATAAAAATAATTGTCTAAACATGAATCTGTCCATTATTGTAATAGTTCAGTATTGTATGCAAGATAACAGGTATGTTTATGCATAGCAGTGGCACTAATAGGCCATCACTCATTTTCGTTTCCACATTTATGTTTAAAATGAAAACATCAATTTGAATAGCTTGTTTGCATGATTATCATGCAATTGACAGACAATTCACTACTCACTGTACCTTGCACATGTTTAAAATAAAAACATGAATATATGAACCTGTGTACTATTTGAATAGCTTAGTATTGAATGCACAATAAAGATGTATGTTTATACATGCCACTAGGCCCAGTTTAATATAAAACACAATTGCATACAATATATATGGTTGGGGGTCTCTGCTCCATCTCTCTATCAGTTTGGGGGTCCTTGGCCTGAAAAACGTTGAAGACCCCTGATCTAGAGGATTTCTCACAGCTTGTTGCAGCTATATAGAGATGAACACAATGACAACAGAACTAAGAGAAGGAGTCACAACAACCCTGTTTGACTCTGAAGAATATCATTTAAATACTGTGCTTACGGACCGTAGAGCTGTGAACTGGTATGTGGAGGATTCAGGACTAAACTAGCTTGTATCATCGGTTTGTTGACGAACAGAGCTGCGTTACACTAAATATCCTCTGCGGTAACGTTACAGCTGTACTCTACCGGCTGTCCGCCAGCTATCACAACTGTCCAGCTGTAGTTTGTCATTAAACTGGAAGTGAACGCCTGTGACACTTAAGCGGTTATAACATAAGGCCACGGCGGACGACCGTGGGGATTGTCTCGATGAGAACCGTGAGGCTAACGTTACAAGCAGACACCTGCTTCTACTCAGCTCAGTTCTTCTACAGTAACGTTACAAACCGTAACCTGGCCGCTGTGTGTTTAGAAAGATGCTTCTAAAAAGCCAGCAGTAGTTTGAAGTGTTCACTGCTCGTATCCAGCATAATGCCAGTTAAACAAGCTAACGTTAGCTGTCTTCACCTGCAGTTTCTTCATGCCTGCAATGCCTCAAATCGGTCATGGTTCTTCAATTAACATCGAATTGATAAATCCTTACGTTACAGTAACGTTCGTTAACTTGGCGACACAGAGGTATCTTCAAGGAGAAGTAACAATTAACGTTAGCTATAGGTTAATAAAACCAGGATATGAACGTTAATGAAATTCGGACTGTGACATGTTTTAACAGCTTGCTCATAAAGCACAGGTAATACACGGGTAACATTTGGTTTGTGAAGTTGAAGAGAACACATTCCACTCCTTACCTAAATAGATGTCCCCGAAAGAACCACTTCCGATTTTTCTGCCCAGTCTGTATCGGTTCCCCACTCTCAGCTCCATTTCGTTAATAGCAAACGTTAACTACGTCTGTTGCTTCGTGTGTGTATCTCGGTAGTTAAACGTTGCGTATCGGTAATGTTAAGCTTTGAATCTTTTGTTTACGTTGCCTCGGTTAGTCCTCCTTCCTTGACTGCTTTACAACCCTAACCCTTAATTCACATTCCCCCGCCCCCCACAATCATCCCAGCTCCTATTGTAACAATGCAAAATGTCACCATCCCTTTTTTATCTTTCTGGGAAACGAAGACTTAAAATATCGATATCATTCGATAGTGCGAAACGCGTAGTTTATGTTATCCGTATTTTGGGGGGTCATTATTGCCCCAAATTTAAAGGATGGAGGCGGATTTTGCGGATAGACTACACCTAATCTTTCGTAGCGTCGCTCCACTGTCCGATTTGTTTCCTCCACCGTGAAAGCTGCTGGCGTCACTTCCCCTAGCAACTACAGGCAGAAAAACTCAGGTACAGTAGCTACATGGCGGTATTGCAAGCCAAAAAATTGGCCTTTTGAAAACATGGCAATGCTTTTAACATACAATTTCATGATGATGCATATGGGAAAATCCAGATAGCATCCTTGCGTTTGGTTCATATTTAGAAAGCATGGCTTAAATCTCCAGGTATAACAGGTATTCACTGTTATTCAAGAATATTTGGGCAACTGTGCATTAGGCTACTACATAGCATCGTGGCTGCGTTATCCTGACATAATACAAAAATATTGTACTGCTTGGTGAGCTATATGTTGTGTTTTACACATTGGCTTTTGCAGTAGAATGCCAATTAATTAGTGTAAAACATTATCAGGCTACCAAGTCACGCTTACTCAGGGGAAATACAAGCAAATTGTATTTGTGACTGATTCTTTAAGTCCCCAGGCTTAATAAAATACAAATGAATAAAAGAATAAAACAAGCCAAAATGAAGCAACACAAACGGAACATGTTGCTGCTAATACAACAAGTGTGTGTGTGTGTGTGTGTGTGTGTGTGTGTTTTGCACATATTATCATATTGTAATGAAAACAGAAGTAATGGAGCAGTTTGAGTAGCTGTTGGATCACTGTAAACCATATTAAAAACACAGTAAAACTCAACATCCACATCCTCAACTGTGCCACAAATTCATTTTGTATTGTAAAGTGACACACTGTTCTGTGATTTGCATATTAGGATGTGGTTACCAAAAACATCTGACTTCTTCCTATGAACGTAATTTGATCTGCTGTTGGCCAGACATCTTTCAATTGTCAAACAGAGTTTTGATTGAGTAGAGAAATGTACATCTTGTGTGTTGTTACAGCATTCACACAAAAATGAGTCTGTATTAATAAACAAGGTGAAAAACTGAGGTAAAATTCTGTATTGGTTGTTGCGTTCATCACAAATCTGTCCATCACTCTGTTGAGAAGTCGACCATGCTCCTCTGTAACTTTCCCCTTTGCACACATCACATGACAGGACACATCTTAGGTGGAAACATCTCATGGAAATACGTATATTCAAACAGTCTGAGTCGTGCCCTCATTGTCAGACACAATTTTTACATCTAATACATATTGATACATATTTTCTATTTTCAGAAAATAAAAGTACTTTTATATATATACAGTATATGTAATAAATAAAAAAATATATAATATATAAATTATTATACATTATATTATATTAAAAATATATATATACACGTGTATATATATATATGTGTTTTACAATCAACACATGAAATGATTAAGGCACTTGCAAATGACAACATAGCACAAAAAAACAAACATATTTTGGTGTTTAATTTTTACCTCTTTTCTTAAGATGTCACTAAACATTTTATTACTTTTTTTTTTTTTACAAAATGTACCAAAAAACTGGCAACGAGGAAGATCTTTGATAAATAATAATGATAATCAATTTGAAACAAAATTGAAATCCTACCCTCGAAACAAAAAGGAAATCTGGTTTGAATTGACATCAAACTAAGCTTGTTTACAAGATGTTTAGCTCAGGCTGATCTATAGAGGGAACACACACACACACACACAGAGAGAGAAAAAAAGAGAGAAAGAGATAGATCAGAGGAGGTCGTACTCATCCATGTTAGGTCAACGCAAGCTCACTAGCCACGCCCACTGATTTGAGTTGAGATTTTACTCATTGGCTGCATATGGAGCCGGCAACACAGGATTTTTCTCATTGGTTGCCTGTGTGCCAGTCAACACAGCATGGAGGCAGCTCATATGGCAGACCTGTTGTTCCACGGATTGAGTAACCAGCTTGCACGTGTCGACCAATGCTCTGCATGAAGTCACATCCTGTAGGAAAAGTGAGTTCACAGTTTAAGACAAGCTTCACAGTGTAGAGTGAGGCCTCCTGGTTGAAATTTCCTTTGTACTTGTCAGTTTGAGAAATATCATTTTGAATAAACACCAAATCAAATGTTGAAGTGTCCACTACAATAAAAAATAACAAGATTAGCAATGTAATGAAATTAAATGAATGAGTTATTATGACACACTGCCAACATGAGTGTAGTGAAGAAGAAGGAAGCTTGCCTATATTATCATTTAAAATGTACAGCTTGTTCCATCCTACAACTGACAGCAGATGTGCTCCAGTTTCCTCCCACAGTCCAAAACATACACATCAAACATTAGGCGTGGATGTGAGTGTGAATGTGTTTGTGTCCCTATCATAGACTAGAATAGTGACATGTTCATGGTGAATCCTGCTTCCTGTCATAGGTTACAGTTACAGTGTTTACCTTGTGTAAACTGCAGTGACGTGTTTTCAGTAATGGAGATTATATTACTTACTATTACCATTCATTCCTGAACAGAATCAGGCTCTTGGTGAGTTGTTTTGGCTAAACGTGGAGACTTTAAGTAAAGACTGATCCAGGAAGACAATATGTGCTGACTTTCAGTAACTTTTAATTGAAACAGTTAGTGTAAAGCACTTCACACTTCAGGGCAGAGCGTGCTCTCAGCTGGTTGGGGAGCTGCCAGAGTTGAGGAGGTTTAATCCAATCATTAGAGGGTTACTGTTCTCTATCCCTGCATCAAAACAATATCCAGTCACGTGCCTTCAGAACACACTGTAGTCTGCTCCATCACATGTGGGTGGTTGGCATACAGTATAAGCCTGACATTTTTTTATTTTAAACTTCAAATATTAGGCATGGAAATTATTAGGTTCTGTTGTATGGACTTTTAGATTTCCAAAAATATAGATGGCCTTTTAGATTATTCATTGGATTTTGAATGTATTCACCAATTGTAGACTAATACTTGTTGTATTAGGGCCTAAAATTGCCATAGATGTGACATGAAAGTTATTGTTATTATACAATGAAAATGGGGTAAACTTTTCTTCAGTAACTCACATTATCTCAACCTTTTATCATTAGTATTTTAGAATCGCATTTCTTGCAAATTCATAAACACAGTAAATCTGTCCATCTTCTAATATAGTTTAGACTAATTCTGACAAATCTGTTCCATTGAGATTTTTATGATTCATCACTAACAAAGCTTTTTTTATTATCACACCAAATGATATAGTGAATGGGTAGTTCTTTTGGGCTGTGCCCGACCGGGCTCCATGGGTAAATCCTGGCCACCAGGGGCTCGTGGGCAAGCCTCCCTCCCAGGTCTGGCTCCATGAGGGGGTTTCCAGTCTGTGCAAGGTGCTGCAGCTCCTTTCTGGCCGATTCATTAAGTCTGTGAATCGTTCTAAATCCGGCCTCTCTCCTGGGATTAATTTTCCTCGGTGAGACTTGCAGGAGCTATTACTCAAGACAACAGAACTCCTAGGATGGAGGGGCCACACAAACCCCTCCACCACGATAAGGTGGTGATTCTTGGAGGGGCCACCTTAGATCAAGACAGAAGGAAGAGAGAAGCAAACTCATCTTAATGGTTCAAAACATGGTTTAGCAGACGGTGAGCATTGTGCGTCTTTCACAGATTATAACCGATCAACAGGTATACATGTTGACTCAAGCATCAGTTTGGGAGACATAGGTGTACAGTTTTAGTCACTAGAGGCGCAGTGTCCTCACTGCCTAACCGTGCTGCTGTAACCTTTGAAACGCAGTAGCTTATAGGGCCATGTCTATACCTGGTGACATCCTAAAATCATAAATACCAAGAGCACGAATGACAAAAAAATCTGTCATTTATGTTTTATATTAATCATTCTTTGCCATTCAGACTTTACATTTTGCTGACATGTCTTAAGTTCTTCCATTTGAGCTTCATCCAGCCAATAAAATCCTTATTACATAAAGAAAATAACCATTTATGATAACTAACTGTTGTATAGGTTTATGTTCACATATATATACTTTTAGATTTATATTTATATTGTACATAGTCGTGAAATGTTTATGCTTACATCTGTTCTACTTTGTTGTTGTTGTCCTTGTACGTGGAGAGCAACGAAAAAAAGAAACAAAATTCAAAACAAAACAAAACAACAGGCTCATATTTTCTTAATAATATGAATTAATCTAAAGATGTTGAAATAATACTTGATAACACTCACTTTTTGAGTTCTTTGCAGAATATCCATTATATCCAACTGTACCTTCATCTTGCCAAGGTCTCCAATCAACGGCCCTCTTTCCTGCTCATGTTTCTGACATTGCACAATAACATGTTCTATTGTTTCCTCTTGCCCACAATAGTCGCATTTTCCTGTTTCGTGTTTACCTATTTTTTTAAGCATACCGTTTAGGCCAGTGTGTCCAAATCTAAGCCTTGATATCACCGTTTCCGCTCTCCTGTTCCTCCCTGCACATCTCATTGCTCCCACTTTCCTCTGAACTCAGTAACACCATCGTCCTTTCCTGTTTCTTCCCATTGCTTCTGCTACCTTTCCTTCAACCTCTGTTTAATGATACTTTTTGTTTCTGATTTATTGAAGCTGACTGCAACATTAGTGCAGCTATTTTTTGCAGCCTCTTTTGCAGCTTTATCTGCCATTTCATTTCCTTTGACCCCGATATGTGCTGGTACCCATAGGAATATGACTGTCAGACCCATCATTTGAATTCTGTATAATGTTTGTTGTATTTCTATAAGGATGTCTGGTCTACTGTCTGAATGGCTGTTCTGTAAGTTGGCTAATAATGAACTTAAATCTGAACTTGAATCTTGAGGGCAAATGATTGCCCTCAATGGTCTTGTGACCTCTATTCACTGTAGTGCTAACATTATTGCAGCATTTCCCCCGTGTACACTGATAGTCCTTCACTGATCATTTCACCTATTTTAAATTTAAATTCTGGAACAATAAATGCCACTACCTTGTTTCCTAAATTCTTTGATGCATCTGTGAACACCTGGATATAACTGTGGTAACTGTCGATATGTGCCTGTATTGTATGCCAATTGAACTGATCCGCTCTACCCT